TGTTTTGTTCCCTATAGGTGGCGGATGGCTCCGCCCAATTGTCCCCTTTCTCTACCGAATGAGAAAGCCTCGCCTCTTGTAGGCGGTTGTGTCTCTCCTCTATGTCGAGAAGGGTGACCAGACGAACTGGAGTCGGACTCGTCTTCTGAAGAGTCCGAAGAGGACTACTCCTCCCCTCTCCTAGAAGGGCCCGCCTCCTCTCCTTCAACAGGAGCGGGAGAATATGTAGACATATCTATGGTAAAATGGGAAGGGACCACCTTGATCCCTCCCTCAGAGCTGTCGGTGGCCAAGCCGCCTTGGTTCACTTCAACATCTGGCGCTTGGTCAGATGTCTCACTAATCGGCACCTGGTAGGAGGAGCCGTACGAATTTGTGATCCTAGCAGTTCTTTTTTTTCTGGCCATTATGTTCTGCATAGACACAGAGACAGTCGGACTTTGTATAAAGGGCAAAGATTGGCTCGAAAAGGGCAGGCGACACTCCTAGTCCTAGACTCAGCCGTCCTCGGTGACCGGCTGATCACTAACCTAGGTCGTGTCGTGTGTTTCCGTGGTGCCATTTTAAAAAAAATAATAATAATAAAGAAAAGTAAAAGAATGAGAGAACAGACGGTTACCTGAACGAGTGAGAAGTTGACGAAGTTCTGGAAAGTCTGAGTATCAGCCGACTTGTCAGAACAGGCGGTAGGCTGGAAATGTCCGAAATGTCAGAACAGGTTCAGGGGTCCAAGTGTTCTCTTATAAAAGTTCTCAAGTGTGAAAATATCTGAAGTCAACATGCCCTTATATAGGCAAAATGAGAAGACGAAGAGTCACTTCCCAAATTCAAAATTTGAGCGGGAACAAACCCTCGGCCTTTCACCAGATGACACCTGTAGCAGGTCGTCGCCTGCTACAAGCCGACACCTGTCACAGGTGACATGCGACCAGTCACGTGCCACCTGTGAGGGGCAAATGATTAGAGGATTTTTCCCCACCAATCACCATCTGACAAGTGGACCAACCAGGTTCCGCCATGTGCCCTCCACATGGGCCAATAGGAGTCTGCCACGTGTCAAGCAATGATCTGTCCACCATGGGCCAATTACGACACGACACGTGTCCACCCCATGACACATGCGACAACCGGCCACCAAGGCCCAATCCTTAGAGAAAGCCCAATCAGCCTTCGGTTTAACCTAAACCTAGGTATTGGCACGCTTCCCAAGGTTATAAATACCTTCATTAATCCTCATTAAAGGGGGATTACGCACATTAAACACTCTCACCTAGAGAGACTCATTTACACTTTTCCGCATTACTTACTCCTTGAACAAACACTAACTTGACCGTTTATGAGTTTGATGAAGTTAAATTTAATTTAACATTACAGCGAAGTAGTAGGTTGGTTTGGAGAATCAATTGAAATAATAAGGGAAGATTGTAACACTTTGCTCAATGAATGGAAAGCTTCAACTAATCTGATCACTGCTTGGTCAAACCACTTCAATAACAATGTAAGGCAGAAAAAGAGGTCTGAAAATGACATGGTCAGATTCTTCTTTGGACTTGACTTCATGGTAAGTTTTTTACCTCTACTTTTATAATATAAAACTATGCATTGTATAAATATGTGAAATAAACTTGGGAATTTTATTGCAGGATACTTTAACTATGTGTTTGAATGCACATGGGAAAAAAGGAGTAACAAGTCTGCAAAAACTATGGATTGATTAGACAAAATCACAATCATTGGACTTGGATGCAGCTGAATGTGTAAGATATGGAATAAATATTTAAAGTAGAAAAATATATGTTTAAAGTAAAAAAAAATAAATAAAATAAAATAAAACAACTTTAAAGTAAATATGTGTATATATTTTTAATGTACAGGTATTTATACCTCTGAAGCAGGAAGATCGTTATTTTCTTGCTGTCATAAACTTCAAAAATGAAACAATTGATCATTTGGACAACACTTTATATGAGAGCACTGATGAATATGAGCCTGTACAGAGTTTTATCTTAGAAATGGTAAAGCATAAATAGATTAACAAAATGTCATTAAATTTATTTTTCAATGTATCATATTACATTAATATTCATTCCATTGCAGATCATACAAATGCAGACGTTGTTTAAAAAAAGAAAGCATCCAAAGGAAATTGAGATGTTGTCTTACAAGCTGAGAATAATTGAACCTCCACTCCAAAAAGAAACACAAGAAAGTTACTCAAGAAGCTATCTAAAGCTGCGCATGAAGGTGTATGATGGTGTTAATGGGATAGGATTGGGAACCATAAAAGAGGTAAGTTACCAGACTTTTTTCTGAAGTCCTTAAATTCTTTAAGTTATATGGATTACTTAAAGCATAATTTATTAAAACTAAATTTAATCTTTTGTTTTTTACAGGAATTTCAAAGATTGACACACCATCATATAAAACAGTACTTGACCTACTTCTCAATGATAACAATCAAATGCAGCAGAAACTGCTGACAAATGTTAAGGATTGGGAAGAGAAGAAAGCACAAAAAGCATGTGAAGAAGAAAGGATATGATCAGAGTGCTTTTTTTCCTTGCATAATACATGTATGTACCTGATGTAATAGTACTTGTATTTCTGTTTGTGGCTTCAATTGAATTGGATGAAAACGAAGGTTTTTGATGAGAATGTATGTAGGAGCTATGGATCAAACAATGCCGGCATGCTTTGCATCATCGTAAAGTAAAATATGTGTAGTGCATTTACCATTATTTCTGATCTGAGATTGATTTCCCATAATTTCCCAAGTATAATTCTCTAGTGGTAAAACCATTTATATATTATATGTCTTTCCTTCCAAGGTCAAGTGTTTGAGTATTGGAGTCATGGAGAAATGGAGTGGACTCGGACTATTAAATTACATGCTATATACTTACCTATTGTAAGCTAAGTATGAAGAAATTAAAGAAAACCGATTTAATAGTAACCTTGAGAACATGTACGTATATGATTGCTTAGAGAAAAAAGATTAGAAAATGTACGTATATAAAGTTTAGAAAATGAAGTCTTTCTGAAATATGGTGTTCGATTTTAAAGTAAAGAAAAATATTGTTAAAGTAAAAGCAATTAATCCAAAAGTAAATGAAATTATCATTAAAGTAAAAGGAATATGTTTAAGAGAAAAAAAAAGTTCAAAAAATAGTCAAAAATATGATGTTCGATTTAAAAGTAAAGGGAATTAGTGTTAAAGTAAAAAACATGAAGTTGAAAGTAAAAGAAAAAAATTCAAAAAATAAAGTTTTTATGAGTTGGTTGTGGAGGTGGAGGTGGTTTGAGGTGGTTATGGAGGTGGTAGTTTAATGCTTGTTCACACTAAAAGTAAAAGAAAAAAGTTTATAAAATGAAGTATTTCTGAAATATGGTGTTCGATTACTAATACTGCTAAAGTAAAAGAAATTAATCCAAAAGTAAATGAAATTATCATTAAAGTAAAAGAACAAATTTAAGAGAAAAAAAGTTCAAAAAATAGTCAAAAATATGATGTTCGATTTAAAAGTAAAGGGAATTAGTGTTAAAGTAAAAAAACATGAAGTTAAAAGTAAAAGATAAAAGTTCAAAAAATAAAGTCTTTATGAGGTGGTTGTGGAGGTGGAGGTGGTTGTGAGGTGGTTATGGAGGTGGTAGTTCAATGCAATTCACACTAAAAAAAAGCACAAATTTTCCAAAAGATTGTTGGGTGGAAGGTCGTGCACCATATTATTTCAACTATTGGCCATGTGATAGTATTATTGGCCATACGATGGTTGTGCGGTGGTAGAAGATGGTGTAGGTGGTTGTACAGTGGAGAAAAGGGAGAGAGAAAAGAATGTTTTGTTTATAAAAGAGCCTCGTATATTAACAAGTTTTGTTACCATCGAACCATGGGGGAGTATTAAAAAATAATGTTATAAATGTGGTCCCATGCTATTTTTAGAGATGTGTCAAGTATTTTGGGACGGATGAAAATCGAAATCGTGCCAAGTATATTACGACGAAGGGAGTAATATAGGATATTATCTTCAATTTTGTAAATAAGAAGGACATTACATGATAATACAATTCATATGATATATTATTCATTGTGAAATGCACGAAAAAACAATATCATAAATTAAATGAAATATTTCATAAAATTAAAGTATAATAGGTAAAAGTAAATAAACTGAACTTTATTTCTGCAGTACAATTACTTAGAGTAAATGTAAAAATATTACATAAAAAAAAAAATAATTAATATTTCTTCAGTATATCTTGATCTTCCAAAACATCTTTAAATTTCCAAGTATGATAATAGCTGCACAAAGATAAACATCAGAAAATCAATGACAGATTAAAGTAAATAAATTAAAATGTAAAGTAAATAAATTTCAACTTAAAGTAAATGAGAAAAGTACAAAGGTAAAATACCTAAAAAAAGTACAAGTATAATAACACCTACACAAAAATAAAAAGTAAATCAAGTTAAATGTTAAAGTAAATAAATAACAGATTAAAGTAAATGAAACACATGTAAAAGTAAAATACATGAAGAACTACTTGTTTAAACAGTTTCTACTATCATGTAAAACACCAGATTGCCCACAAGCTCTACAGGTTCTGCCCTTTTTGGATTTTTCTTCAGAAGCTATTTCTTTTGCACTCTTCAACCGCTTTGAACTTCTAGCAGAACGTTTATTACGACACTGATTTGGAGACAGTATATCTACTTCATTTGACCCAACCAAAACCTGAATATCAGCATCTTTCACCTCTTTTGAACTAGTTGCATTTTTAGGATTATTCTTTGTCAGCATCTACTCCTCAAATGAAGATAATTTCCTAATAAGCTCACATAAATCATCCTCAGATTGCTTAGATAAACTCACACAACTGAAAAATCTTGGACCACACATTACTCACCAATCGCTTTTCTTATCATACTTAGAAGCATCATCCAAAACAGCATTTATGGCAGAAGCTTTCTTCATAATGTGTTTTCTCCAACGATTCATGATTTAAAGATCAAGAATTTCATGTATAGACTTGCCTTTCATAATAAACAGAATGTGTCTACATAAGATGCCTTGACTCTCAAACATTTTACAAGTACAACTGCACTCATATGTGGGCAAGTCAAAATTTACATCAAAGTTTTTCCTTTTCTCATGATCAACAATTACAGAAAACTCCACACCATCTCCATATAGAGAACTACAACTTTCAACACCACATGAGAAACAGGCTGCTTGGCATTCTTCTTGAAAATCATAAAAGATGGCACTACTGTAAACAACAGCAACATACTTTTCCAAGTGTAAATGAGTAACCAATTGAGGCTCAGAATTATTAAGCCTGTTCAACTCATCCTGTTCATGCCTTTGAGCATCAAGAGCAGTTTCATAAAGGACAAAGAATTCAACACAGATCAAATGGGGATTTATCAAATTACAAAAGAAACTGTTTTCACCTTCAGACCTAGAAGTAGAATGCAGTAACCCACCCATGAACAAGTCCCTGAAATATGTAGGGATCCAAAGATGCCTAATCTTGAACATGTATGCAAACCACTCATGATCTACAAGGTCAAATTCCTCCATAACACTATTCCATCCATCAACAAATACATTGGGATCAATTTCTCTATCCCAAACTACTACACTTAGCTTTTTCAAGAACTCAGTTTCATTACAAAACTGAGTTCCAACCTTTTCAGGTACCTTCCTCATTATGTGCCACATACATAACCTGTGTTAAGTCTTGGTAAAAACCTTTTGTATGGCAATACCCATTGTAGGGTCTTGATTAGTGAATATGCAAGAGGGTTCTCTTCCCATACACTTCAAAAAAGTTTGAAATAGACATACAAAAGATTCTACATCTTCTTTAGACAATAAAGCAGCACAAAATGTAACACATCTCTTATGATTATCAACTCTAGTAAAAGGGCAGAAAACCAATGAGTATTTATTTGTATCATAGGTAGAATCAAAAGATAAAGAGTCCCCAAACAATTGATAATCTCTTCTACCAACAGCATCAGCCCAAAAAACACTTGTCAAGTGCCAGCTTTCATCACACAGTAATCAAAATAATAACCCCCTTTACTGCTTTTCACTTTTTGTTCAAGGTTTTGAACAAACATTGCACCATTAGCATTAGAGATATAAACTTTCAAGTCCCTAGAAAAAATTTTGAAGTCATTTTTACTGCCCCTGACATTTTTAAACCCACCACAAAGTTCTTTCATGATCCTATAAGACATAACAACCCCTATATTTAACTTTGAGTTGTCAAAAATAAACTTCTCATAAGCAAAATTTAAACCAACTTCATATTTAGTAACTTGCCTAGTAATTGGTGTAGAAAAAGGGTGAGAATGAGACTCATAAAAAGAGTAAACCATATGCTGCCCACCGTTACAAAACCTAAATTTAATATTAGCAGGACATCCAACTCTCTTCACAGTCTTTTTCCTTAAACATGCACCTTCAACTTGTTTACCAGTTTTCTTGTTATTTGTCACATACCATTCTTTCCTACATAATAAATATTTAATTACAATAAATCCTTTATCATTACTAGAACCAACCTTACTTATCTACTTTAGTAGTACTAGAACGGACTTTAAATCCACACTCATTAGCATATGTGTAATAAAAGGAAATACCATCTTTAAGACTATCAAATTTCATTCCAAGAATAGGTTTGTTTTCTAAAAAACAACCTGGGATATACTCTTTATCACCACTAGAATTATAATATAATCTTAGGAAGCACAAGCTGAGTGGGTGTTTCAAAAATTCTTACATTCTTATCTTCATCAGTGACAGCAGCAGAACAATGCCTTACACTTTCAGTCATCTTCCTGAAAAGTAAATGAATCAAAGTAAAAAGTAAATAAACAATAACAAAAAGTAAACCATTTAAAAAAATATACTAATAAAAACTATTAATAGATCTCTCAAATCCAGAAACAATCACTATCCAGTATAATAAAATCTAAACTAAAATGATAAAAAAAAATAAATAAAAAATGAACAGAAACTAGCAAAAAATAAAACCTTCTTCACTTGATTATTCTTCATTCCAAATTTCATCAACATTGTTCTTTAATTAAAATTGTTTCGGGGTTTTTTGATGTGTCTTGCGGGAAAGTTACAACACAGTGACTGACCTCCGACTGCCTGTACCTGCAAAACAACAGAGACTCCCGAGGGAGTTCCACCTCCGACGATCAAGTTAGAACGTGTATGAGGAGTATAGTGCGGAATGTAAATACTTCTCTCTGATTCAAAGAGAATTCTGCAATGAAGATTGCTCGGTTTTTGTGTGGATTGAATGTGTATTCAATGTGTGTTGTTTAAAAATGAGGATGGTTCCTCTATTTATAGGGAAGGGGATCAGTTCCCCTTCTAGGGTTTTGGTGACACGTGTCAGTAAAGGGTTGGATCCCTTTGGGCCTCTCTAAGGCTGACACATGTCAGCAGGCTATTGGGACACGTATTGCATTAACAGTGGTCCATTTGTCTAGTTCAATTGGGGAGAAATTTGATTGACTTGGAAAACTTGATACCTTGAATGGTATGACATTTTCCGAGTTAATCAAATCATAATAATGATTGCCGCTAAACTAGATAGATGTCGACTATTATTGCTTTTAGCCCCACTATGTTGATAGCCCTAGATTAGGCGGACTGTCGACCATCAAGTGGGGGTTAGCGCGCAATATTATCTGGCAATTGGCCTCTATTTGATCATCGGGCTATTGGCCTTCGCTTGATCATTCGAGTCCATAACCGTTTGGGGTGCTTTTAAGCAACGCTGATTATGGCATGACCAAGATTTCATGTGCCGCCTGTACCATCTGGTAGTAAGGGCGACAGTATTTTTCTGCTGGGAGTACCGGCTGCATTACCTTGAGGTAAAGCCTAGGGGTACTGCTTTGCAAAAAAGACCGGTTGTACTGTTTTGCAGTGAAAACCAGTTGTATCTTGGTTACAATGGATCATACAAACAGCCGTGAGTTATCTTTAACCTTAGCTGGTTAAAGCTGTTTGAGTTATGACCGCTAGAACAATGTACCACCCGGAAGGGAGATAATCTCTTCGACGAATTCACCCCAAATGGGCGTCGTCGGACACCTACTGGAGTAGACGGATTGTTTAATTTTAATAAGATCATCCTGCCATTAGCCTTCGTTTGATCATTCCGGCCATTGGCCTCAATGGGATCATCCGGCCATTGGCCTTCACTTGATCGCTAGAACAATGCACCACCCGGAAAGAAGATGTTCTCTTTGACGAATTCACCCCAAATGGGCGTCGTTGGACGCCTGCTGGAGCAGATGAATTGTTTTATTTTAATAAGATCATCCGGCCATTGGCCTTCGCTTGATCGCTAGAACAATGTACCACCCGGAAGGGAGATGTTCTCTTCGACGAATTCACCCCAAATGGGCATCGCCGGATGCTTGTTGGAGCAGACGAATTGTTTTATTTTAATAAGATCATCCGGCCATTGGCCTTCGCTTGATCATTCCGGCCATTGGCCTCAATTTGGTTGTTCTTAAAAGAAACAACACAGCTGCTAAGTTGTTTAGACTTAGCTTTCATCCACTCATGTTAAAGCAGATGATTGGATTTAAATTTTGCCGCCTGCACATTACACAGGTGGTGGTTCTACTTTAAGCCTGTTCAACATACTTTTAGACCTTTTTCGGCCAGTATGCTGCCCTTGAGGGAGACTTGAACTAATATTAACTTCCGATGGAGAGTCTGTCAATGTGCTGGAGGATATTGAGATGCCTCCGGCTTAATTCATAATACCAAGCTCTTCAAATGGAAATAGGCGGCCATGGGACGACATTGAGACGCCTCCTGCCTGATTCATGAGAATGAGCTCTTCAAATGGAGACAGGCAGCCATGAGACGCCAAGCAACTGAGCTCAAGAAACGAATTTGCTCTCGGCTTATACAGACGGCTCTCCATTGAGATGCCTCCTGCCTTGGACACTACTCAATGCCGGGGGCTATACTAGGCGGTTATTCTACCATGCCGCATGGTTTCAGATTCAAATTCAGGAGCCGAAGGGTTGTCAGCCCATATACATGCGACAAGACTTCAAGCAACATACACACGGAAAGAGAACAAGAAATTATTGAGGTACCCAAGCGGCACCATCTCTACCTTTTTCCTTGAAGATTCTTTAGAAATGAAAGAGGTTAGCTAGCCGCATCAGCAGGCAGAAGTCAATCAGTTGCTTGCTAGGTACCCAGGCATTTCCCTAAAGCCTTGCTTGACGATACCCTAGATGGTTGAGCGACTGTTATAGTTTAAAATCAAGGGAGCTTTCTGAAGTATGCCCAGGAGCGGTGATGGCACAGACGGTTGAATCAGGCGGAAATTCCTTAACCCAATTTGGCTAGGCTTCAACCCATATACATGCAACCGGTTTTATTGGAGTATAATCATGTCATTGTAGAGTATGCAACCACAGGCGGTTGGAATGGTGAGACACATGCGACCCTCATCCAGTTTCTCCATGACTCATCTTGATGAACAACACTTGTGCTTGCAACACTTATACATGAGGCAACACTTATACAGGAGGCAAGACTTATATAGGAGGCAAGACTTATACAGGAGGCAAAACTTCAAACTCTACCAACGCAGAAAGGCGTCCAGCCCTATACTCGGCCATTACCCTTGGCATCTCATGAGGTTGCAATGACCCATATACATACGGCCAATCTGTTTGCTTCGAAGCAACGCTTGTGCTTACACTCGGAGGCCGCCTCATGATAAGGCTGACTGTTTCATGAGCTCCGCTTCAAAGACGTGATAACGCCATTAAGGGTCAGCTGATTATTGATCATTGTACCCACAGCTGGTTTCCATGGTGTGGCAAGAGTATCACCCAACCGGACAACTCATGGCTCAGACCTCATACATACAGCCGGCTCCTCAAGGATGCACCCACAAGCGATTTTTTTTTATTAAAATAATCATAATAATGATTTAATCAATGGTAAAAATAATTTTAATAATGACCCACTATTTTTGAAATAATGATTTGATCATATTATTTTTTCTTTAATCAACATGTGATTATATCTCATGATAGCCAAGCTACAAACGCAGCTCACAATCCGGTCTCACGAGCTAGACTTCAACCATATACACACAGCTGGAGGTGCGGTTAGGATTGGCCGGCTGCTATGCTACTACCTGAACGCTCCTGACGCTAGTTGAGAATTATACCCACGAACCTACGACTACGCACATACAGCCATTTATTCATGGCTTTACTCACATATGTACAACCGGTTTCCATGGTGCCACATATGTGGATACCCATTCAGATAGCTCGTGGCTTGGTTAGCGCATACACATCCGGTTTTGGTTGGTGAAGCTTAGAGCGGCAACAACTAATTAGGGCTGAGCAAAACTATCAGAAAATCCGATGATCCGCATCCGCATCCGATCCGAAAATTATGGATATCCGATCCAAAAATGATTTCGAATCGGATATTTGATCAGAAAAAATCGGATATCGGATATCCAAATTTTGGATTTCGGATATCCGATATCCGAAAAAAAGTCGAATATCGGATATCGAATATCGGATATCGAATCCGATATTCGAAGAAATTACTCATTAATAATACCAAACCCTAAATTTGAGACCCCAATATAAATACCAAACCCTAAAGTTTGACAGACACCC